GGTTTAACAATTTTGGTTTTCTGGAATAAATATCATTTCCATAATATTAAATAAATTAGAGCAATGTTGGCATTGATATTTTATCACTTACTTATAAGCTAATAACTAAAATAAAAATATTTATATATAAAAGAGAAATCATTCAGATAAGTGATCTAAAAATGCTTATTTGTTTAACTAGTATATACTAAATATCGATAAATCAATTTTAGCGTACACTAAATGATTAAATAAATTGAATAATCGATTTTAACATATACAACTTTTGAATATTTAAACGTTTATTACAAGACATATGATTTCTCATATTCTATAAACATACAAAATGATATGTATTGTGTATAAATATAATAAAATGTATCAAACATATGTTAATGTCATTGATTTTGATATTTTTATCTGTAAAATTGATCACAAAGTATGCAAATGTTATTTAAGTGTAAAATTGATCTTGACTATTTGTGTAAATTATAAAGAATACGATAAATAAGATAAATTTTAGATTTATATGAATCTGTCGGACATAACAAACGAAAAACAATAAATGTCTTCCAAATTCCAACAATGAAATGTATAAATATTTGTGAGTGTGAATAAGTACGTATAATATATTACGTCATAATAAATTTATTTGTATAGTGCACTAATCTAAATAGATATATACACAATATACGATATTGTTATCATTTGTTTTTGTCACAATATTGTTATGAATATAATAATAAAATGCTTGTTATTATATATGAAAATTTTAAAAATAGAGGATAAGAAAGTCTAAAATATTACATTTATAGGGCTTAAAATTATAAAACATATATTAATGGACTTATGTAACAAAATTAATGAGAATATATATAAATTTCCATTATCGCATATGCCACATGGAAAAATTGCAAATATGCCATTTTTGGTATGTACATTTAATTATTATTTTTTTTGTTTTGTAAATTTATATTCTTAATTATTAGATACCGAGCATGCCCATCCTTATATAGACACTAGTTGGGCTTAAATTTATCGGACATGTATCCATGCCCATCTCCTAACTTTCCCAAAGCCGAAACGCTCTAAACTAGCCAACTAGCAAATGACCTCGAACAAGTTATTCTCCCACCTATTAATACTATTCTTTCTCAACACATTCTATTGCCTATCACTCATATTAAAACTTGGAGCTTCGTGCTAAGCCCTCCTCTCTCACTCAGATCTATACATTCACTTCACCTAACAATTTTCTTTCTTTGCTTCTTTAAGACTTCTCAAGTTCTCTACCATTTCACAAGACTCCTTACTGATGAAAAAGAAGTTAAGAAATCTAATAGCGAGGGGAGCCATGATGCGTGAAGTTACCGAACAAGATGTTGAAAAAGCCGAACAATCAATCACGCCTGAAAGCACCAAAAAAGATGTTGAAAAAGCTGATAGTTCAACCAAGGTTAAGGTTACCGAACCGGATATTGACGAAGCTGAGAATTCAAGTAAGCGTGAAGCTACCAAACCGGATATTGGCGAAGCTGATAGTTCAACCAAGCATGAAGTTACCAAACCGGATATTGACGAAGCTGAGAGTTCAAGAAAGCCTGAAATCACTGAACAAGATGACGTAGAGTTTACAAAAATATTAGAAGATATGAAGATGCCCAAAACTAATAGTGTGGAGTCTCCAAAGCTTCCAAAAAAAGGTGAGGGTTCTTGTTGCATCTTCAGGATTCCCCAAAGCCTAACAAAGATCCATCAGAAGAAGGGCTATGAACCTGAGATAGTGTCAATAGGTCCTTACCATCACGAGAAAGAGCATCTCCAAATGATGGAGGATCACAAACATCGTTATTTGCAACTTTTCCTAAATGAGGTAAAGGATGGTGTCACTATGAGCCTTTTGGTCAAGAAAATATTGAAAATAGAGACTGCTATAAGGAACTCTTATTCTGACAAGCTTGTTGGGGTTGACAACCAACCGAAGCTTCTTAAAATGATGCTTCTCGACGGTTGTTTCATTCTTATGTTGTTCTTTTTCATAGCAAGAATTGTTGACGCGAGTGACAAGTCACCACATGATCCGATTTTGACGACGCCGTGGATTCTGGCGACTATCCGGAGTGATCTTCTGCTTTTGGAAAACCAGGTCCCTTTCATTCTTCTCAAAACTCTTTTGGAAGAATCAAAGGATTCTTCTTTGGATTCAAGCGATGTGAAGAACCTTGCATTTAAGTTCTTCAACCTTTCAATGGTCCAAAAAGAAGAACTGGGGAACCATGAAGCAAAACATTTGCTTGATCTGATTCGTAACAACTTCATCCCCGTTCCTCAAAATCCTACAAAAACATCATCAAGTTCTCAATATGATTCGAGACTGATCCTCTCAGCAAAGAGACTTCGCCTCCAAGGAATAAAATTCAAGGCTTCTCATGATCAATCTTCTTTAAAGGTGTGTTGTAAGAAAATGATTGGCTGTTTATTTAATGAGTCTAATGCAGTTGTCCCGAGGAGCTCGCAGGAGAAAACAATATTGGAGATAAAACTATATGGAAATGAGCTTCACATACCGCCAATAGTCTTTGATGGATCCATCAGTTCGTTATTGCTAAACTGCGTCGCTTTTGAGCAATTATCTTCGAAGTGTGGCAATGAGATAACCAGCTATGTCGTTTTCATGGGATGTCTAATGAATGACGAGGCAGACGCTACCTATCTTATTGAGAAAGGAATCATAGAAAACTATTTTGGGAATGGGAGTGAAGTCTCTCAGTTCTTCAAAAACATCTGCAAAGATGTTGCCTTTGACATGAATAAGAGTTACTTGAAAGAAGAGTTCGAAGGGATTAATCAGTACACTTCAAATAGATGGAATGTGGAGTGGGCAAGGTTCAAACATCTTCATTTTGACTCTCCTTGGACTGTCCTATCATCTCTTGCTGTTTTGGCAGCTATTTTACTTTCAATGGCCCAAACTACTTTCACTGGCCTCAGTTATTTTTCGTCCTCCTAAGTAACCAATTGCTAAAGGCACTTGAATTTCAGCTGAGTTGTGAAAATAAATTGTGATCCATTGTAGTAAAGCGTTATAGTCAATATCTACGTTC